TTCCTTACACTTCCTTATGTTAGTAAGGGAATTCTTGACCTTTCACTTGTTGTTGGTATTGTAACCTAACCTAGTAGACCGCCATCATTCTCTCCTTACACTTTCTAAAAATCTAGCTCCACCTTCTCTCTAAAAAGGTGAGTAGCTTTTCTTCCGAGCCAAGTTGGAGCCTTGCCAAAACTTCAAAAGTTGCTTCCAAGATTCAACCTTTCATATATTTGGGCATCTAGTAGGGTAAGATCTAAGTTCATCTTGTGTTTTTGGTTTTATCTAAGGTGTCTTTTCTTAAAGATAGGATCTTTATGATCTTTTGGTATGTTCTTGAAGTGGGTTTGGAAGGTGAGCCTGGTGAGGATCTTGTTGAGGTGTAATGTGAAGTCTTTAGTCTACAAGAGGTAACCCATGCTCTACAAAACCTATTTTGCTTACCTATATGTGATTTCTTGGATTCTACATGTGTTTTGCTATGAAATGTGAGTGTTGATGCATGATCTTGTGAAAAGCATATCTAGAGCTTGTGTTTAGGGTTCATTTGTGCCATTGCTTGGCATTTCCTTTGATTCAATTCATTTTGTTGTATTTCGTGAGATTTGGCATGTTTTGGACTTGAAATTGAGCTTGGAGTTGAAAATCCCCGAAGGGATTATTTTGGACACAGGGATGTACCCGCGGGCGGAACGACGGGCAGAGCCCTACCCCCCGCCCCACCCGGGGGAACATGTGCTTGTGGGTGTAGGTACCCGCGGGCAGGACCACGGGTAGGGGCCTACCCGTGGGTCCACCCACGGGGCACACAGTGTGGTTGATTGGGGATTTGTTCCCCGTGATTCTTTTGACTCGGTAATTGGTCTTTTGACTTCCCGCTGTTCTTTTGCGGAACTATTTGAGTGTCTTCTTGATGTTTCGTATGTCTAGAACTATATGGTAGGATTCCATGTAGGTTTTGGTGTCGTGAATCGTGCTAAGTGTTCAACATTGTGTTTCGTTGAACCGTGATGAGTCTTGTGTGTTCTTCGGAACTACCTTTGGTGTGCCCGTTTGATAAGCATGCTAGTTTGGTGTTTAAATACTAGCGTGTGTGTTATTTGTACCTTTCATGGTTGATGATAACTTGTGTTATTCATCGTTGTTGTTGTTGGACTATGATCCATTCCTTGATTGAGTATGGTTTCATATCTTCGTTGTGATCCGTTGATTGATTCCTGTTGTGGTGTGATATGTGTGTGGCTTTACCTGGATTGCACGATTAGTGGTATGGGACACTAGTCACCAAGGTATTACAGCGGTCCTCGTGGTGGACGTGACGTGATTTTGGAGTTGTGACCTTTGTGTAAGGTTCACGTATTTCTTGGGTGGCATGTGTTGCCGTGTGTGTGATCGGTACACTCGTGTACTATGAAATCGGTGGTTTTGTTGGAGGGACTGTTGGAGGGGGAACGACGGTTCCCGGAGGAATAAGGTTGGACTTGGTATACAGGGGTCCTGGAGGTAAAGGTTGGAACTAGATATAAGGTTGGGGTAGCCATAAGGTTGGAACCGGGCATAAGGAAGGCATATCAACTCGTGATGGGTGATGTCACGAGGGCTTCTGTAGCCGTTGTTGTGAGTTCTCTTCTTCTGACGTGTGTAGTCACAAAGGCATGTGTTGCCGTTGGTCTTGTCTTTATCCTTTTGAGTTGTTGTTGTCTTTGTGGTCCTGTGATGTGTTCCCGTGTTCTTGTTGAGAGCGTGAGTCTTGTGTTGACTATTACTCTTGGTTTTTGACTTATATATATGTATTCCGTTTCGAAAATGGCTTTACAAATGTATATCTTACCTATGTATGTTATTTCACATGTATTGGTGGGTTACCAGCATTATTCGCTGACCGGGCGTCGTCCCATGTTTTATTGTGTTCTTTCAGGTGATGTCTAGATGAGTGCGCGGTCTAGTGTTGGCTAGTTTAGCTTCTCCCTTTCGTTTTGTGGCCTGTGTGCCAGTTTAGATGTAGTACTTTGAGACAATGGGTTTAGATGTAAACTTTGCAGATGTTGCCTGTGCGTTTATCCGTTTGGTAAACGTGGCATAGCATCCCGTGTTTCGGATTATGTTATCTAGCTATCTTTTAGTCTTCCGCTGTGTTTATTGTTTAGCTCAGTTATCTGCATGTTTAAGGCTTTTAAATAGCTTGTTTTTAAGGGGTGTTACAGGACCCTACCATGAACATCATTGGGTGTATATGGGGTTTTCGCACCAAACGCACCACGGACGGCTCGATTGACCGCTACAAGGCTTGCTTGGTAGCCAAAGGTTTTAATCAAGTTGCGGGCGAAGATTTCTTCGACACTTTCAGTCCAGTAGTCAAGCCCACTACAGTCCGTATTCTTTTTTCGTTGGTTGTGTCAAACAATTGGACACTGCGTCAGTTGGATGTTCACAATGCCTTTCTGAACGACCACTTAGCCGAAACAGTGTATATGAAACAGCCACCAGGATACGAAGATCCGGCACATCCCGGCCATGTCTGTCTCTTGCAACGTTCATTCTATGGGCTCAAACAGGCTCCGAGGGCGTGGTTTAAGAGGCTCCATGATTATTTACTGTCTGAAAGTTTTTCTTCATCTAATATTGATGTCTCGTTGTTCTACCACACCACAGAAGGGTCCAAAGTGTTCTTACTTGTATATGTTGATGACATCATAATGATGGGCAGTGACGCCACCCTTGTCAACTTTCTGCTTAGTCGTCTAGCTTCCACATTCAGAATCCGTGATCTGGGCACACCAAGGTTCTTCCTAGGCATCGAGACAGTTAGCACAGGTGATGGCATGGTTCTTTCTCAGCGCCGCTACATGGCTGACTTACTAAGTCGCGCTGGGATGATTGACTGCAAACCCCTAGCAACACCTGCCTCCGTCACTCAACCGGTTACACCGTCTGATCAACCGTTTGAGAATCCAACACAATATCGTCGCATAAATGGAGCCTTACAGTATCTAACCATTACTCGGTCGGATCTTTCTTATGCTGTCAATAGACTATGTCAGTTTATGCACAGTCCAACCGACGATCACTGGGCCATGGTGAAACGTGTGTTACGGTATATCAAGGGCACGCTGCACTATGGGCTCCGCCTTACTCCCTCTCCTACTCGCACCATACACGCCTATTCGGACTCCGACTGGGCTGGCTGTCCGGTGGACAGGAAGAGTACCAGTGGCTATGCTGTTTTTCTTGGGGGCAATCTCATTTCTTGGCTCGCCCAGAAGCAGCGCACCGTCGCCCGGTCCTCCACTGAAGCTGAGTATAAGGCTCTAGCCGATGTTGCCGCAGAAGTCACTTGGGTTGTCTCGTTGTTACGTGAACTCGGTCTCCATACGGAACAGCCTGCAAGCCTATGGTGTGACAACTTAGGGGCCACCTATCTCTGCGCCAATCCAGTGTTCCACGCTCGAACGAAGCACGTTGAGATTGACTATCATTTCGTTCGAGACAAGGTCGCTTCAGGGGATTTTGTGGTTAGTTTTGTATCAACCAAGGATCAGCTAGCCGACGTCTTCACCAAACCACTACCTGGGCCCTGGTTTACAGTTTTACGAGTCAAGCCCAATGTTGTAGAGCACCAGCCTTGAGCTTGAGGAGGTGTGTTAGTGTTAGTATTATTATTGTTATTTAATTATATGTAACATGTGATGTAATTGTGTGGTCTTAGAATTAGTCTCAGTAAGTTGGTCTACTAGTTAGGAGTGTATAGTGGTGTGTTATCATATACTCTCCTGTAACCTCTTTCTGTGTAACCGAATCATTAATCCTCTCTCTCATCGTCCTCGTGGTGGCCATGACGTGATTATGGAGATTGTGACCTGTGTGTCGGGTTCACGTATTTCTTGGGAGGCGTGTGTTTCCATGTGTGTGATCGGTACCCTCGTGTACTATGAATTGGTGGAAATTGTTGGCGGTCGTTGGAGGATGGGAACGACGGTCCTCGGAGGGATAAGGTTGGACCTGGCTGTACAGGGGTCCTGGAGGTAAAGGTTGGAACTAGCTATAAGGTTGGGGGTAACCATAAGGATAGAACTGGGCATAAGGAAGGATAATGATTCGTGACGTGCGATGTCACGAAGGCATGTGTTGCCGTTGTGTGTTTCTTTATTTGAGACATGTGTTGTCACAAAGGCATGTGTTGCCAATGTGTGTCTCTTTATCCTCTTGTGTTGAGCATGTCGGGTGATATTCTACTGAGTGATGGTAGAATACGCCTTGAGCCTTACTTGTGTTGTCGTGGTTACATCTGGACGTGTGTTGGGATGTGTTCCCTTAATCTTGTTGTGAGTGATATAGAGTCTTTGTGGTTGACTTCTATTTCGACTTTGAACTCATATATACAGTATTCCGTTCCGAAAACGATTTTGTATATACTATCTATGTATGATACTTAACATGTATTGGTGGGTTACCAGCATCATTCGCTGACCGGGCATCGTCCCATGTATTTATGTGCATTTCAGGTCCCGAGTAGTGGTGAGCGCGATCTAGTGATGGATAGTGTTGTCCCCTCAGACTTTGTTAGTTTTGTTATGGGCCTGTGTGCCTTTTATGATGAACAATAGATTCTTGTTGTTTTGACCTTGTCCCTTGTTAGACTGATGATGTTGATGTTCTTGCCTGTGCGTTCACTCTAGTGTGTACGTGGCATAACACTCTTCGTTTTCCAGTTTTTATATAGTTAGGCTTTCGCTGTGTTTGCTTATATTGTGGTTAGATTATCTGCATATTTTAGTTTAATTTGGCATGGAAATCGGGGGTGTTACAGTTGGTATCAGAGCCTAGGTTTGAGCCTCGGATGATAGAGTCTAGACTTCTAAGTGGTTAAGTGTGGTTTGAAACCTTAAGGTGACCGTAAGAATCTAAGTGTTTTGGCTTAGGACTCTTAGGACGCGCGGTGAGCTGTGTGTTATTTTCAGTCGTTTGCTTGCTTGTTGTTTCGTTTGTAATAGTGTTGTTGTTGTAGAAGCTTTGCGATGCCTCCCCGTCAGCGTGCACGTACACCGGAGACCCCGACGAATGAACAACTTGCCCAGAATCTGCAACAGCTTACGCAGACTATGCAGACCCTCAGCGAGGCGTTGTTGCACAACAACCATCCCGTGCCACCTCCACAGCCTGCCGGGCATAGGGATATAGGACGCCTTGTGTCGAGCCATAGACCTCTGACGTTCGCGGGCGAGGAAGACCCCGTTGTTCTTGAAGAGTGGGTGAGGACGTTTGAGAAGATCTTTTCTGTTGTTGGATGCCCAGAGGAGCGGCGAGTGGAGCTTGCGACGTTCTACTTCAGCCACGAGGTCGACTTGTGGTGGATACATGAGGGTCCAGCTTGCCTCGAGGAGCCTGGCTTTGATTGGACTGCCTTGAAGGATCGAATGCGTGAGAGGTTCTATCCGGCGCATGTTCGAGCCGCAATGTACGAGGAATTCCTTCATCTTCAACAAGGTTCTTCATCGGTGGTTGAGTACCACAAGAAGTTTCTAGAGCTCGCACGCTTCGCCCGGATGCTTGTCCCTACCGAGCTCGCCAAGGTTGAGAAGTTCGTAGCCGGCTCGAACTACGAGGCGCGAAAGGCCTTAACCGTGAGTAGGCCAAGTTCTTTGAAGGAAGCATATGTGAGTGCCGCGGACTTGTACCGGGTACAGCAGCTACAGCGTGGATCCTATGAGCTCGCAAGGAAAAGGACCGAGAGTGGAGGATCTTCCAACTTCAAGAGGCCACGACAGAACTTCCAAGCCAAGAATGCACCTTCTCCAACCCAAGGACCAACACGAGCGGAGCCCGGAGGTCAAGTCAAGACGTTCGCGTGCCGAAGATGTGGGAAAGTGCATGCGGGCCAGGATTGCAATGGCCAAGCGTTTTGGTGTTATCGTTGCGGAGATAGAGGGCATAAGATCACCGAGTGCCCTCAGTAAGTCAACCAAAGGGCGTTGCCACCACCCACGGGATCCGGAGGAGCAGTAGGAGGGAGCTCGAGCCGTGGAGCAGCCGGGGCCAGCCCGTCGGGAAGAGTTTTCGTTATGGGGCGATCGCAGGCGGAGACGGAGGGCTTAGTTGAGGAGGAGATAGCTGGTAATCCTTTTTCTAGCCTACCCTTGTCTTTAGAACGCATCTTGTTCCTTGTTGCTTTTATGTGTTGTCTTGTTTCCTCCGTTGTCTTGTTTTTCTTTGTTGCTTGATTCTTTTAGTCTTAAGAGTAAGCCTTTCGTAGAGTTAATTAATGAGTCATGCTTGAGTTAATTCCCTAGCCTTGTTTATGCATAACTTGTAATCCATCCTTCATGTGAGTCACCTAAATCTATCCAAGTTTTCTTTGAATTTGGAATAGAGAAATCCATATAATTCCTTCTTGTGAAGCCTAAAAGACCAAGTAGATTTTAAAATTGTAAACTTTGAGTTTCAAACCTAAGTATATCACTTGCCAACCCAACCCTTGAACCACTTGAGCTAATTATGTTTCTTGAACCTTATCCAATTTTTACTCTATCTAACCCATAAAATCTCACTTTACCCAAAATCCCCAAATTAAATCATCTTCTTTTCCCAATTTTTCCCCAAATCCCCAAAACCCTTATTCTCTCCCTCCCCTCTCTCTACCCGTGAAGTTCAGCCGAACCACCCCTCCCCACCACCCGTAGACAACCCGTTGCCGCCTCAGCCGCTGCCGCCACCTGCTGTCGCCGTCGACCGCCGGAGCACCGCCGCTGTGCCAAGAAGCCGCCGCGATGCAAGAAGAATAGAAGAAAAAGGGGAAGAAAGTCTTGGGTCCTTTTTGTTGAGCTTTGGGTCACCTTTCAACCATGCCTAGGAGAACAAGTTTGGCAAGGAAGGTGGAATGGGTGGATGCCCATTATCTCGTTTTAGAAGGTAAAGCTTTCGACCCGGAATTGTTTCCTAGTTCTTTGTTGGATATGCTTAGATATCAAGGCTTGTTAGATGGGTTTCTCGCTATAAGGGCTGAGACATACCCATGTTTGGTTAAGGAGTTTCACCGTCACATGGTTGTGGCGAAAGATGGTGGAAAGCTTGAAATCACCTCAAAGGTGATGGGTGTGAAAGTGGTCTTGTCAGAAAAGAAGTTAGCTCAGCTTTTAAGTTTATCTGCTTCAAGAGTTGCTCAATACAGTGGTAACTCTTGGATTAGTATGGGTACCAGGACTATTTGAGTTACTTGTTGGGTCGCACGAGTGGTTTCACTCAAGCCTCAAGATCGGAGAAGAAGTGGCTGTCTGCCGAGCAAAGGATTTTGGTGATGCTTGTGTCAGATTGTTTGTTGCCCAATAACAACAAAAGTCGGTTGTTGGGAAAGTTGGAGTGTACCTTTGCTTTTTGTTTGAAGAATATGGTAAAGTTTAATTTGCCGGCCATGATGTTGCAACACATGGTCTTTTGCCGTGACCACAATCGGAACTACCTTACGGTATGGTGTTGAGCTGGATCTTTGTTAAGAAAGGCGTGAGCGTTAATGGTTGTATGCCGAAGGCCGTAGGAAAGATGGTGTTAGATGCCATCAATCTGCGAAGTTGTAACTTGTTCTAGTTGGATGACGGTGATTATATCACTCTTGAAGAAGTTGCTAGGAAAACCCCTGAGGAAAGAGATGAGTTGGTTGCAAAGCTCAAGATTCCTGTCGGAAAGTTGAACCTCGCGGTCCAGAGCTTGGGAGGTGATGTGGGGGATGATGAAGAAGAAGGTCATGAAGAGGATGTGGAAGCGGAAGAAGCTGCTGATGTTGAGGAAAGTGATCCGGAGAGTGAAGAAAACCGAAGGAGAAGAGAAGCCTGAACCAAGAGAGAGCACAATGCTATGATGCACGAGGAGCGTGTGGTCACCTTGCTACGCCAACAAACCGGATGATCGAAGAAGGCTTCGCTTTTATGAAGACGCAGTTTGTTGCTGTCCATCAAAGATTAGATCAAATAGAGGCCAGCTCGAGCCGAAGAGGAGATGATGACGAGGAATCCAAAGAAGACACCGATGAATCAGAGAGCGAGTCGTTCTAGCGCGGTGTTGTGGTAATCCCGTTTACCTTTCCTTAGCTTGTTGTTATCTTGTTAGTTGTTGCCGCCGATTGCTAGTTGCTTGTTGTTTGCTTTGTGTGTTCGTTTTTGCTCGCTTGTTTGGGGGAGTAGTTAGTTTTGTGGCTTGCATTAGGAGCTAGTTGTTTAGATCTTGAGTGTTTTTTAGAGGTTTGGTAGTTGTGTTTGGTTTAGAGTTTGATATGCTCAATATCTCCGTTGGTTAATTCTTTCAATCCTTGCAATGATATGATTTCTTGCTTGTTTTGGTATCTCTTGAATTCTCTAAGTCTTGAGCAAAAAGGATGCTCTTGGCACTCTTGTCACATTGTTGTTTCGTTTCACCGGTTGTTTTAATTCGTCGTACCCAAGATTCGGGGACGAAGCTTCTTTTAAGGAGGAGAGGATGTGACACCCCATAAATCCAAATTCTATTTAGGGATTAATTAAGTAATTAATCCTATTCTAATTGGTAATTTATTCCTGAAAATTCAATAGTCGGGGACTAGTAATTGACTAGTCAACCCAAGTCAAGGTGTTGTACCTAAAGCTTTGTGAACAGTTCCCTTGTTCCCTTACACCTTTTTCATCTTAGTAAGGGTAAAGATGACTTTACACCTCATGTTGGTATCCAAGCTAACCTAAGGTCATTTCTCATTCTTCTCCTAACACACTCAAAACATAAAACTCTTCCTTCTCTCTAGAATTTAGCTAGCTATCTCTCCAAGCTAAGTTTAAGCTTTCCAAGATCTTCAAAGTTTGTCTCCAAGATTCCACCTTTCCTACTCTTGAGCATCTAGGAGGGTAAGATCTATGTGTCTTTTGTGTTTTTAGTGTTTTCTAAGGTATCTTTTTCTAAAGATGAAATCTTTATGATCTTTCGGTGTGTTCTTCAAGTGGGAGTTGAAGTTGAACCTTGTTAGGGGCTTTGAGAAGTGTTTTAAGTGGAGGTTTAGCCTTCAAGAGGTAACCCATGCTTTACAAAATCTATTTTGCTTACCTATATGATGATTTCTTGGATTCTACATGTGATTTTGCTATGAAATGTGAGTGTTGATGCATTGTCTTGTGAAAATGCATATCTAGAGCTTGTTATTAGGGTTCATGTATGCCATTGCTTGGCTATTCCTTTGATTCAAGTCATTTTGTTGTATTTGGTGAGATTTTGGATGTTTTGGACTTGAATTTGAGCTTGGTATTGAAAATCGCCGAAGGTATGTTTTGGTACAGAGTGTTGTACCCGCGGACGGAACGGCGGGTAGGGGTCCACCCGCGGGGTACGTTTGTGTGTGGGAATGGTTCCCACGGGCGGAACCACGGGTAGGGGTCCACCCGTGGCCCCACCCGCGGGGTACAATGTTGGCTTTGGCGGGGATTTGTTCCCCGTGATTCTTTTGACTCGGTATTTGGTGTTTTGACTTCCCGATGTTATTTTATGGAACTATTTGAGTGTCTTCTTGATGTTTCGTATGTCTAGAACTATATGGTAGGATTCTATGTAGGTTTTGATGTCTTGAATCGTGCAAAGTGTTCAACCTTGTGATTCCTTGAACCGTGTTGAGTCTTGTGTGTTCTTCGGAACTATGTTTGGTTTACCCGTTTGATAAGCATGCTAGTTCGATGTTTAAATGCTAGCGTGTGTGGTTTGTTCTTTCCTATTGTGGATGATGACTTGTGTTGATCATCGTTGTTGTCAGATTGTGATCCTTTCCTTATTGAGTATGGTTTCATATCATCGTTTTGATCCGTTGATTGATTCCTATGATGGTGTTGTGTGTGTAGCTGTACATGGATTGCACGATTAATGGTATGGGACATTAATCACCAAGGTACGGCAGTGGTCCTCGTGGTGGCCATGACGTGATTATGGAGTTTGTTACCTGTGTGTCAGGTTCACGTATTTCTTTGGAGGCATGTGTTGCCATGTGTGTGATCGGTACCCTCGTGTACTATTAATTGGTGGAAATTGTTGGCGGTCGTTAGCGGATAGGGACGACGGTCCTCGGAGGGATAAGGTTGGACTTGGTTGTACAGGGGTCCTGGAGGTAAAGGTTGGAACTAGCTATAATGTTGGGGGTAGCCATAAGGTTGGAACTGGGCATAAGGAAGGATAATGATTCATGATGTGTGATGTCACGAAGGCATGTGTTGTCGTTGTGTGTTTCTCTATTTGAGACATGTAACACCCCAGAATTTCAAGACATTTAAAACTTATAAAATAAAGGTATTATCTCATTAGATCCCAAGACGTACTACAAGTGTACGGGGTGCTATGCCACACCTGAGCTAGAGAACCCAGGTGCACAGGCTAACTAACTAATATCCTCAATAATGTAAATGCATAACATGGCACGCAGGCCGAAAAAGGGAACTATCTACTTCTACGTTCCGAGTTCTAGCGCGCTCCAGTGACTTATTCTTCTGTGCCTGAAAGCCAAATATATCTGTTCAGCGAGAGATGCTGGTAACCCACTCCAACGCGTTGAAATACAATACATATAGAGATACATATAGATATACGAAAACCATTATGAACATGAAGATATATCCTACGAACTCTAGCTTTAAAACCGGGAATGACTCAGCAGTTAAGGCTAGACACCAGCAGTAGACATAACAAGCATAAGCATTTCACAATAGATAAAGCAGTTACGACAAGGCATAAACGGTAATCATAATCCCATCATAAACAATCCCCGATATGAAACCCATAGTCACATCCCAAGGCACTCATAGTCACAACTCGTCCATATCACACACATAACGCACATTGTTGGCGCCACGGGACCGATCGCATGCCCATACATGAGGGTCAGCGCATATAGCTCTGACACAGCCCCGCAGCACCATGCCCCGTATCGCAACACGGGGAGGTCGATCGCAACCGACCGATGAAC